AATTTTCAAGAAAATTTTGGCAGCCTCCCGGCGTCACCTCCCCACCGAGGGAGAAATCGTGACGGCATTTGCCGATATTTTCTTCCCGGTCGGACCTAAGGTTGACGACACGAGGCCTTGAATTTTAAACCATCTCGGTCGGATCTAAGATCGACGACACGAGGTCTTCAATTTGAATTCTTCCCGACCGGATTTGAAATCGACGGTACGAGGTCTTGTATTTTAAAACCATCTCGGCCGGATCTAAGATCGACGACACGAGGTCTTCAATTTGCAACCATCCCGGTCGGACCTAAGGTACGACGGCCGGGGTCTTCGACACCTGTTGAAAAATCAATTTATTTCTCTTCACTCATCTCTCTCTCTTTTTCTTTTATTTCATTACATGTAAAATCTTATATTATTAATAATATATAATATTATACATATAATTTAATATATGATATAATATTATATATATATATATAAGATATTATATATATAATATATATAACTTAACATTATATATATTATATTACAATAATATAGCTTATATTATATTATATAGAGAGAGGGAGGAAGAGACGGGCAGAGCCCGTTCGGCTGGAAGCGGAAGCCATGTACGGGAGCAAGCATCAGGCTCGGCGGGAGGAGACGACGGCCGGAGTCATGGCTTTGTCGGTTTGGGCTAGGGCACGATCTCGAATGCAACAATCAGAGGTGACGTCGCGGTTGGAGTCGACCGGTGATCAGGCCGAAGGTAGGTAGAGAGATTGGAGGCCGGCGGCGGGTTCGACGACTTCTGTTCGTTCGCCTATGGGTTTGAAGTTGCAAGAGCGGGAATCGGAGGCCGGCAAATGGTTCAGAGTTCAGCGGGAGCCCTCGAGGTATTTCTGAACTTGATTCCTTCCTTCTCTATGCGTTTCTGAGTGCCTGAGTGTGCCTGTTTTTTGAACCGAACGAGAGAAGCGTTGTTTTTATGTCGTGAATGGGGCGGTTACCTATTTTTGAACGAAAAGTTGCTTCGTTTTGGAGATAATCGTCGTGAGGTGGGATCGGGGGTGGTTTTGTCGTCAGTTTGTCGGTGTGGTAATTCATGCATTACCCACTATAGTTTTCTTGGCCATTCTTTAGCCTGTAACTTGGTTATTGCTGGAGTATTCCGGTTCTCTAGGCTCCAAGTATTTTCTGACGTCTACATATTCCTTTTCCAGTTAGTTATGGTTCCATGCTATAACGCTTTTACAAGTTCTTCCTTCAACTAGCATTACTCGCCAGCGCATTAAAGTTTGCGTGAACAGCCTTAACTATGCTAAGCCAATACTACAAAATATGCAATTTCATTCATCATAATGTTGGGAACAACTCTTTCTCTTAGGACGTCCTTGTAATTTCATATGAACTCTTTTTTAATTTACTAATGATTAACGTCTTTTATGTTTTGTTAATTCCTTTCAAATTCAGTGTTGGGGAAATGTTCTCATTTTCTCAAAATCTTGCAAAACTATGTTATTTTTAATTTCCGTTAAGTTAAATTGTACATATGCAAATATCAATCTGCACTTTTATACTTGATTTTGTTTTATGTTTCTATCTTTTTGTAGTATTTGATAGAGAACCATTAAATTTGCAGACCTATTTGCAATCTGTTACCATAAAGCTCGAGGAATGGAGATTAAAGCGACGGGACACTGAACAATGGATGAGGCATCGCCAGCTACCTCAGGAATTGCGGGAGCGGGTTAAACGTTTTGTACAGTATAAGTGGTTTGCAACACGAGGTGTGGATGAAGAATCTCTATTACAAGATCTACCTGGAGATCTTCGACGAGACATTCAACGTCATTTATGCTTGGATCTTGTCCGCAGGGTATGTAGCCATGTTGGATTTTGCTATCTTTGATTTTTAGAAATAATTTATTAATTTAAATTTGCTTTTATGGCTTGAAGTTATAGAAGATAGAGTAAGACTTGAACATTTGTAGGACTCTTTAAGTGCTGGTAGTTTACTTTTGTTGCTGGAACTTGGTCGGGAGAGAATTGCTAGAAAATTAAATTGAAAACTTTCTTGTTTCTTTTCAAATAAACATTTTCAACAGTAAAACAAAATGAATACAGCTTTTTAACTTTCAGTGCATCATTCTTTCCAGACCCAGTTATACGCTACTATTGCATATTTTCTGTACTTAATGGTTGTTAATCATGAATATTATTATTTCTATTTTTTATTTCTGCCAGTGCCAGCTAATGTGTGTCGTAACAGAAGTTTTAATTCATTTTTTCATTTTTACTTCGTATTTCATAACAACAATCATGTTAAGAGCTATTTTTTAGTAAAGCAAAATTTTATAGCCAGTCAATAAAATTAATAGAATATGAAGTAATTATATATATATATATATATATTTCAAATTATAAAGACCAAAATATAGCATTGAAGATAACTTGGTAACAAAGAAGAAAGAGTCCTTAACCTTAAGAAGGATGAAGATATACTCAAGAATCATTTATTCCGGCTTGTGTGAAGTCTAGTGAACCTTGGTGGGTGCTAATATATTTTCTTTCCATACCTGACCCTCATGGAAAATAGGATTTGAAATATTGTATCCACTTATGCTTCATCAGTAGGAATATTACCATTAATGTCATAAGACTATTGAGAATCTGGATCACCAATATTCTCAATAGCAGGATGATCATGAGGAGCTAGCACATCTAGTGGTTTTGGATTTGTTGACCACTATACGCAAAAACATGCAAAACGAGCCTAAATTGACGCTTGACGCATCTCCTGAAGGGTCAAACGACCTTTGATTGTCAAATGGACTACGCTGTTGCGATCAGAGCATTGAATTTGCCTTAGAGGAAACCCCTTGCAGTTAAATCGGACGAGATCGATCAAAACGAACTACCAACACCCAAAATTGACGCGCAACGTTGCCCAAACGACGTCAGATCGTGTAATGGACTTTGTGGTTGCGTTCGGAACGTCGTCCATAGGGCTACTTGTTTTTTTGCATTTCTAATTCTTTACATTTTTTGTGTCTTAAATGTTTGATTTAATTCTTCTCTTTACTCTTCATCATTTGGGGAATGCTTTTCATATTTGTACAACAGTAAAAAAATCTGATAATTTGCCATATGCAGGTTCCTTTCTTCTCCCAGATGGATGATCCACTTCTCGATGCCATATGTGAGCGTTTAGTTTCATCCCTAAACACTGAGGGTACTTATATTGTTCGTGAAGGTGACCCTGTAACTGAGATGTTATTTGTGATGCGTGGAAAGCTGGAGAGCTCAACCACCAATGGCGGTCGAACAGGTTTCTTCAACTCCATAGTTCTAAGGGCTGGCGATTTTTGTGGTGAAGAGCTTCTTTCATGGGCCATACTTCCAACAACAAACCTTCCCTCCTCTACTCGAACTGTCCGAGCTCTTGTTGAAGTAGAGGCCTTTGCTTTAAGAGCAGAAGATCTAAATTTTGTGGCAAGCCAATTCAGGAGGCTTCATAGCAAGAAACTCCAACATACCTTCAGGTTCTACTCCCAGCATTGGAGGACTTGGGCTGCTTGCTTCATTCAAGCATCGTGGCGCCGATACAAGAGAAAGATGTCTAATAGTCTTAGCTTGAGTGAGTCATTCTCCTCCAAAGCTGAAAGCCTAGCTACTCACGAATCTGAGGAAGAGACAGGTCGAAGCCCGTCAAACTCCTCCCACCTTGAGCAAAATATTGGAGCAATGATGTTACCTTTCAAGTTTTCTACAAGCACCCGGAAAGGAGCTCAAAGAAGAAAGGGCGTTGATATATCCAAATTGAGGAAACCTGATGAGCCTGATTTTTCCGCTCATGATTATGATTAGTGTGAATGCTGGAATATCAAAATCTTATACAACCACCATTTTGTTGATACTGAAGGATGGAATTGGTGATCTCCTCAAGGGCCGACTGAGTAATGAAGTGAGTTCAACTTTTCACTTGTAATCATGTCATTTGTAGCAGTGAGTTTTCCGAACCTTCGAAAGTATTTATTAGTAGTTTGATATGGCGTAGATTGTTACAAATTGGTTTTTCCATGAGCATAGTCTTAAACTCTTAGTGAGGATGTATAAAGGAAAACACCTCCTTGTGATCAGACTGATCACATATAAGCGCTGCATTGGCAGATTTTTCAGTTTGCTTAAGTACTTGAAATTCCTCCAGTAAACTGTTGTTCTATGCATAACAGTTATTGTAATGTTGTGAAATTATCGACTTTGGACTCATTAGAAGTCATGTTTTAAAGCACATTAAGAGTTCATTAAATTAATTACTTGTTTGGATGTAGTTAGATATTAATGTTGATTTTTTTTTTGAATTCTCTTTAAGTGCTGATTTTAATTTTTCACTTAAAATGAGTTACACTAAAATCATTATTTTTAAAATACAATTTGGTTTAAATAATCTTCTCATTCAATTATCAGGCAAGGTCCTTATATATTTATATATAAAACTTTTTAGTTGATTGATATGTTTTGATGAAATTTAGCGGACTATGGTGGTCCTCAACCGATTCTCTTTCTTTTGCAGGTGATTGATTAGAATTTTTAGGCTTCGTATGGGAATTTTCATATTGTTTTTTATAGCCGTTTTTAAACAAAATTTTTTTCAGAAGCAACGAAAAAGCAATTGTCAAAAACTGTTCCAAATGAATCCTTAGTTTAATGTTATTTTATTTGTGAGAGGTGTAGGACCGTAGGTCTCAACAAGATCAATGAGCTGATTAGGATTATTTTTATTCTTTATCAATATATATGCAAACTTTTTTTTTTTTAGGTCTGAAAATTGTCCTGTCATCCTCAAAATAAATAGTTAATGCATTCTTTAATCCAAATGATATGGCTTAACGATCAAAAATATTTCTCATCAGCTATGAAATTTGTTTTTTACTTTTTTCATCATCCCTGAACTGTATTCATTAAATCTTTTCAACTCTTTCATAAAAAATGGTTCAAGAGATTCCTTTATGTAGATGAGTCTTCGTCTTCATATTCATACATCAATATTAATTTCCTTGCTCTAATGCATGTGAAAGAAGTAAGAGTTATTTTCTAAATTCATGCGCTAATGCTTCTTGAAAATCTGAATTGAGAAATATTAAAAGACCTTTCATGCTTAAATTCAAATTCATTGACTTTAAAATTTGTCTCCTTTGATCATGCGTAAAGTGTCCTTTGATAAAAATATCAGTATCTTAATCTCTAGATCTCATGTATTCTATTTGGATCTCCATCCTTCTTTATTCGGTCTCAAATAAATTGAAGCAAAGATGGATGTGCTTGCACCTTTCAAGATATACCATGTTCTTAGACAAAAATATTATCAATTTTTTGTCTATATAAACTTTTATGTCTTCACTTTGAGGGCACTGAATCTCCTTTATGGCATACAAAAGATGTAGCAAAATATTCTATTTCACATATGGAAAAAGCTATAAAATTGGTTGCTTCTTTGAAAGCAATGTGAATGTTGTATCACTGATGTAGAAGATGAAGCTTGTTGTGCTCAGGATCCACCCCGATCACCATCCAAGTAGCAAAGAAGTTGAGCCTTATTGAATATAAGAAGCCATCAATCAAAAGTACCTTTGATGCAGAGAAGGGCGCTCTTGTCCCAATAAGATTTAAGGTCTTATGCATGTTAAGTATCTTAGTCTTTATCTTAAACTCTTGAAGTAGGTTGAATACTATCAATTATGAAGTGAAAATACCTTTCCTTGGAATAGAAGCACTTCCCATCAATTTGAACAGTATCGAATTGCATAAATTTTTATTAGTCGGGGACTAAATTGAAGTGGTACAAAACTCTAGGACTAAATTGGTCACTTATTAATAGTTGAATGATTATTTTAGACTTTTTTTATATTTTGTTTTCTAAGAGCATTAACTAAGTTTTGATTGAGTTTAAAGAATAAGTTAAAGCAGGTTTAAATACAGTAGGTTGTGTGTAGTTCCTCCTAATTCATATTTCTGAAAAAGGCGCCATCATCATGGCTTGTTCAATAATCCTGTTTGATGCGCCCAAAGAAGTATAAGTCAAAAGAAGAACCAGACACCCACCACCACCACCCCTCTGAATTTGGCGATCCATTGGTCGTGTTATTGGTGAGACGTGATGCATATTTATTGATGTGGAAGTAACAGAAACCATAGCAACTGCACAGGACTACCCATTGCTTTGAGTACTTCACCCACTGCAGAAGTGAACAGTCACCATTTCCTTGCACTTTGTTCCCCAACCTAATAGTTAATTTATTCATTTATTGTATTTCCAATTGCACTTGAGTACAGAATATATTAGTTTTTTAGTGCAGCATTTGAAACACATGTGGAAATGTCAGTGCTACAATCTTTCTTCAAATCATGAATTTAAAGCAACATTTACAGCCATAAATCTTACCAAACGGTTGATAACGTGCTGTAAATCTGCATGGATCGTAAATCCTGGATTTATCGATTATCAGTGTAAATCCGGGATTTAGTAAATCCGGTCCTTCGGCGGATTCAATGGGATTTACATATACACAAAAACTCTCTTGTGGCGTCCTTGTCTTTGAGTAAGTGAGAATCCCTTTATGTACAATGAAGGGTTCGCTCTCTCCGTACAAGTCAAAACTAAGTAACTGTGTTGAATTCAACAAGTCCGGCTGAGGCTGCTCTGTAAATGGAGTTCCCTGTTCATAGATCTACCTTTATCTCCATCCGAAATTTTTTATTTCCCTGCTTTTCACTAATATCTTCATATATCAGTAAAATAGCAATGGCAATTGTGAGAGCATGCTTCATGTATGCATGAAATAATAGGGAAAAATTAAGGTTTGTAATTTAGGTTGTTTTGTGACACATTCTAAATCTTGAAGAGTAAAACTGAACTAATTTATGATGACAAGCAGTGCACCTATGATCTTCTTCATTTTCCTTGGTGCAAACAGATTAACTCTTCAAAACCTTGCAATTATGTGTTATTAGAAGTTAATAGGATTTCTTCCTATCATCAATTTGGTCACGTTTTGCTGCCTTATCCAACATTTACAGTTGACTTATAATTCTTATATTCTCCATTGATTCCTTTCAGTAGCTGCAATTGGCAGTTAATCTGCTCTAGCTAAATCTTTTTGATTAATTCATGGTCATGCTTAACATATATAATTATGGCATGAGTCGCTGGATGTTCTTGAGGTTTGCTATGTGTGCTGATGCTGTTTATTAGGGGATAGAACTCATTATGAGAAGTCAAATTTAATCAGCGATGGTTCTGTTGATGATAATTTGTTTATATATCAATGAAATATTGTTGTACTCAATCATGCATTTGTAGTCAAGTCAAGTAAATTTACTGGATAAATTTTTAATATTGTTGTATACCAGGTGTATCCTCTGGTTGGAAAGTTTTGCATCATTTTGCTCCCCTAGCTTTCAAGTGTATTTGCATGCAAATAACAGAATATTTATCGCTGTAATAATAGTTCAATTATCCTGTTTGATATATGAATTTTTGGGTATATCAGAAATATGTTTTTCCTAAATAGATTACATTTAGCCAAGTTCTTTAAGTAACTTAGTTTTATAATTTAGCCCTCATCATTCTTGCATGTACCAGGAGCAATATTGACGACTGAGATGTCATCCGAAAATTAGAATCTAAAAAATAACATTGGATTGACGAAACCTATATTTGATAAGAGATCCAATTATCATGGGTTTGCCAATGAAATTTTAGAGTCCTTGAGCGATAATGAGTCGTCAAGTTTCTGTTGCGGATATGCACTTGCTCAGATGGGTTGTGGAGCAAGGACATTTTGGATTATCCCGCGGTAGTTATTATTTGGCTTATTCTTGTTTTGCCAATACTGATAAATTGATTGCACAATTTTGGTGATGTCGATATCACTTGAGTGGTTATTGTGGAAATACATCTAGAAGATATATAGTTCAACAAAAGTTATTTAATCATCGATATTGACAATTGCGCAATATAGTTGAAAGAATTTTTTAGATTTGGAAGGAATGATTTTAAGTATTGACTCACATGTAATAATTTACTCTTAGTTTTCAAGTTGACATTGTTCTTACATATACAATTTCCCAAAACTTCATAGGTTTGTATCATGAACATGATCTCTATTTCAATATGTTGCAGATGGAAATGCAACATCATACTCAATACGTTAAAGTTGGAATATTTGTTGAAGATCCTAACATACATATATAACAATAGGGGAAATATTTCATGGGTAAATGATAAGGCATGGCATCGCCTTTGATTTGTAGAATACTTGTTTAAAATTTTAGATTTTAGTAGAAAATAATCAATTTAAATTAGATTTTATAATAATTTAATGCTTTTTTAGTTTCAAATGTCGAGTCAAAGACATTGCCCATCATGATAGAATTGTTTTGCATTGCAATATATAGCATATCTCCTACAATATGCAAGTGTATTGAACATTTTGTTGTCTGATAATAGTTGATCTTTATCTTCATAAATATTAATCTATTATGTACTCTTTGTTAATTTTACAATATCTATGAACTGATTTTGGATTTATTATATTTTATGAACTTGTTAATTTACTTATTGATGTAATTCAGAGATATGAGTTAAAAATATTTAGTTCTTATTTATGTGTTATGAACAAGGTTGTGAAAATTGAACCGGATAACGAACCGGAAGAAGGAGAGCTTCATGGTTCGACCGGTCGAACTGGATGACGTAATAAATAATATATAACATAATTTTGTGACTAAAAAATAAATAAAATTCATACATATATAATATATTACATAATTTTAAAATTAAATATAAATAATTATTATATTTATGTTATATATTTAATTATAAATAATTACTAATTTTAAATTTAAATATAAACATCTTCAATCATTATATATTATAGTATCATTATATATATATATATATATATATGTATACTAGTTATATCTATATATACTGTATAATATATATAATTATATATTTGTATATATTATAGTGTTTATATATTGGAATTCTTAACTTTCTTAGTTAATAATATTTTATTTTTTTGTTTAAATTTATATTTAATTATATTTATAACAATTAATTTGTTAATTATGAGTTTTTTTAATATAATATTTTATAGGTTTAGTATTCTAGAATTATG